TTCCCGAAAGAGAGAAACCTGTTCCTTGAGGACAGTGTAAATCCATGCAGAACAGTGGACAACTTACTCCCTTCGTCATCCCCTTGGAACTATGACTGTTCAGAGTTCTGGAGGATGCTACATAAATGCTTTGTCTGCGTTTGTATCCACAAGTGAAGGACCGAGGGGGGGGTGGTTAGGGCCCCAGACACAAAGACCAAGGGTCCGCCGGTACAAGTCCCAGCCCCCATGATTAGCAGCTGGCAAACCGAGCAGCTTAGCCTCCCCGAGCCTTTCCCCCTTCCTGTGGGAGGCAGGAATCGTGACAGCAGATCTTCACAGAATGGCTGTGACAGTTAAGGATGCCGAGTTCAGCACCCTGTCTGGCTCATCATCGAGGCTGAGCTGTTCTTAGAGGCACACAAGAAGCCCCACTTCATTCTCGGCGTATTATCCTCCTCGGATAATATGGGAGAGATTAGTCACGGGGATTCTGAAACTCACCCCGAAGACGAGACGTTGGCATCTTGAGTCACAGAATGGGTTGCACAAGCGTGGGATGCGAGGAATTAAGATTTCCCAGGCTGAATGGAAGTTCCTGCATCCTGGTCTGCACCCACAGTTCCTGAGCTTGTTGGCACCGGAAGTGCTGGGTTCTGAGAAAGACTGCTCAGTCCACCTGGGGCCAATCCCTTCTCTCTGCCCAGCCGCATCAGACATGGGACAAGGGGCAGTGATGAGAATCAAACCCAGGATCTTAGGCATGCAATGCCCCCCCTCCCACCCCCTTCCCCGCCCCCACCCCGGGCCAGCAGGACAGCTTTCTGCTGTAAACCTCCCTCCCCCCAGCCTCAAGGTTTCTCTTCTCACAACCTCCCTCATTATCCCCCAACCCTTTCCAACTTTCTTAGCCTCACCGAAGATATGGGAGTCTGCCATTTTGAAGCCGGGCCCCAGGAAGGGTGAGGGAAGCCAACCCTGTTCACTTCTGGCTGTAGGTGGCTTGCAGCCCCGCCCCTAAGCCTCGAGGCTTCCCCTCCCTCTCTCTTCATCCCACAGCGACCATCAAGCCTACTGTAGACTGCTCGCCACCCCACAGCTAGAACAATGTCTTAAATTCATTTTGGCTGTTTTTGAATAGGGAGGGCTAGGTGGAATGTGCCTCACTTAGTTCCTGGACCCTGCGCACGGCTTTTTCGGAGGATCCTTTTAGATGAGATGGAGTTAAGGATCTTCAGAGGGGAGGCTGCTCTGGGCTAGCCGGGCACACCCTAAACTCAGCCGTTAAGAGCCCAGTCAAAGAGAAGCACAGTGTGCCAGGAACTGACCTGGCAGGAGAGGACTCCTCCCATCAGCTTGAAGACTAAGACAAAAGGGTCCCCACATTTCAGGAACCCCATGCTGTGGGGAAAGGGAACTGAAGCCTTGTGCTGGGCAGAGGAGGCACTGCTCACCTAGGAAGACATTTCACACAGTTCTAACGTTTACCAGACCTCTCCACGGGACAGACCTGCGCTGAGACAGTGCTGGGTCAATGGTGGGCAGGACCACACTGTGACCAGGACTACTGAGCTGTGTATATTGTTCACTCTCTGTTTAAACCTAAACCTGGGGAGGCAGGCGACACTGTGGAGGCACGTGGAATGCATGGGGGAGGGTGGCACATACTTGGGAACTCAGGACTGAATTATGAGAAATTATCAGCCTTAGTCTTTTTTTTTTTTTTTTTTTTTTTTTGGTTTTTCGAGACAGGGTTTCTCTGTAGCTTTGGAGGCTGTCCTGGAACTCACTTTGTAGACCAGGCTGGCCTCGAACTCACAGAGATCCGCCTGCCTCTGCCTCCCGAGTGCTGGGATTAAAGGCATGTGCCACCACCGACCGGCTTTTAATTTCATCATTCTTTATTCTGTTTCATTAGCCTTTATCTTTTCCTGTTCTTTCTTTGTGCTGTCAGTCAGTCACTAATGTGGTTCCTGATTTCACGTCTGCTTTGGGATTCTCTTTTTCTTGATTCTCCTGAGTTTAAAAGCTTCTGTGTCCTGAGCTCCTTTTTTTTCATCATGCATTCATACATGCAAGCAAAACCACCCGCGCACATAAAGCAGAATATTAAACTAAAAATAAAAACTAAAAAGGAAGAAATAATAAAACGGGAGCATCCCGGACTGTCCGAACGGACCACGCTAACACATTTGCTCTCTCAGGCAGCGCACATCCGTCAGCTGGGATGTAGGGACTGCCGAGGTCGGCGAGTCCGATCGGGAGATGTGCTCACTGGGTGTCTGGCTGTTGTCTGGTGATGAAGCCACAGAGCAAACAAGTGGAAATGCGTCCCACCAGCAGCCTGAGTGAGCTCCTGGTGCTTCCTCCTGGCTTCTTGACAGTAGTTCAAGCATGGTTGACACCTTGATCACTGGCCTTCAGAGACCCAAAGCAGAGGATTCAGTCAGACACTGAAGCCTTTCTGATGTATAGAAACTCAGACACAAGGAAAATCCCTACACATCATACCAGCGCCCCAACGTAGACTTGGAGGTCACTTTGAGAGGCAGGCTAGGAAGACAGGAAAAATGCAGGGTCATACAAAGGAAAGGTCCCCTCATTCCTGGTGTGCCAGGTTTGGGAATCCCAGAGACTAACCCAAGGAGTCGACACCTCTAACACAAAAACAAAAGGTTTCTTTTTATTGTTCACGTTGTCCAGCTTGGATCCCATTCCGTGGCAGAGGAAATGAGATGCCCACCAGCCAAAAAGAGAAGCTTTTTTAAAGGGAAAAAGGGGAGGGGGAGTCCTGAGACTGCAAGTCTCAGTTCGCAAGGTTCCCATGGTTACAGAGATTACTTAGCACACAAAGTTTCCGTACAAGGTTATCATGAAATGAAGGGCCTCGAAGAAGGCAGCAACTGTCACCTGGTTAGGTAAAATTAATTGGCACATGTGTGGGCTAGGGGCTTATGACTGGAGCACATCCTGCGATCTAAAAGTTTTACGACCAGTAGGGCAAGAGGCTATCTGGTTCCCAGTCTTCTCAAGGCAAGGGGGTAGCAGTAGATGTTGTTGCAGCTGCTCGTGGGTCCAAGCTTCTGGTCACGTAATCTGTGGTCAGGGGGATTTACGATTGGCAAGTCAGGAGGCCATCTAGCTCCCAGTTTTCTTTCTTTTTTTGTTTTTTCGGGACAGGGTTTCTCTGTGGCTTTGGAGGCTGTCCTGGAACTAGCTCTTGTAAACCAGCCTGGTCTCGAACTCACAGAGATCTGCCTGCCTCTGCCTCCTGAGTGCTGGGATTAGGGGTGTGGATCACCACAGCTCGGCATTTTTGTTGTTGTTGTTGTTGTTTTTTTTTTTTCGAGACAGGGTTTCTCTGTGTAGCTTTGGAGACTGTCCTGGAACTAGCTCTGTAGACCAGGTTGGCTTCAAATTCACAGAGATCCGCCTGCTTCTGCCTCCCAAGTGCTGGGATTAAAGGCGTGCGCCACCAATGCCCGGTTCATTTTTTGTTGTTTTAGAGACAGGGTTTCTCTGTGTAACCTTTGTTGTCCTGGAACTGGCTCTGTAGACCAGGCTGGCCTCGAACTCAGAGATCCTCCTGCCTCGACCTCATGAGTGCTGGAATTAAAGACATGTTCCACCGTGCCTCACAGAAAGTACAGCTTAAAATGCAAAATCCTCTGCAAAAACAACAGACACTGGCAAGTCCTAGAGAACAAGGAAGTCTGTTTTCCCAGTATCAACCACAAGAGGGCGCCATGTGCTCCAGCCTGAGTCACCATCCCCTTTCCAAGTTTCTAGGAGTAACCAGATTCTCCTCTTAGTAAGTGGTAAAGGCACTCTGAACCCTCCATCTAGGAGAAGCTTGGCACTGTTCTCCCAGGACTGCCAGTCCTGTTTCCTTCCTTCCCAGGACAGGGGCCTTTGTCACAACATTTAGGGATGCTTATGAAACTGTTCCAGCTGAAGGGAGAGGATGAGGGGTGGTCTCAGCTACACAGGCTGAACGCAGAGTCCCGCATCTCTGAGTGCAAGCTGGGATCACTTTCACAGCTGGATTTCCCTGGCTGCTTTCGAACACCGAACCAGCACCAGAGACACTGTGAACACAGAAGATTCTAAGCTGAATACGGATTCTTAAACAAGTGGTGCATTCCTTTAATCCCAGCACTCGGGAGTCTGAGGCAGGTGGATCTCTGTGAGTTCGAGGGCAGTCTGGACAGAGCAAGTTCCAGGACAGGCTCCAAAACAATACAGAGAAACCCTGTCTGGAAAAACCAAAAAAATAATAATAATAAAAATGGGTTAATTTAAGTTGTAAGAGCTAGTTAATAATAAGCCTGAACTATAGGCCAAACCTTTTGTAATTAATATAAGGTTTTGTGTGATTATTTGAAACTGGGCTGTTGGGACAACAGAAAAGCTCCGCCTTTGTTTACAAAGCCCCCAACATGAGTTCTGGGGGATTGAAACATCAAGGACCACTGAGCCATTTCTACAACCCAACCCCAGCCCTTGGCTGAAGCACAGATGACTGTAAGTTCAAGGCCAGCCTGTGATGCATGGTGGGGCTACATATGGTGAGATTCTACCTTAAAAAAGAAAACCAAATCCTCACTTGTTAGCTTTGTGACCCGGGGTTAAGCTCAAGTTGTGTCATTGCAGAGCTGGGCATATGCCTGAGGTCACTCAGAGTCACACACCTGTGTGACATGTGAATCTTTGGCTTTACACTGTGTTTTCTGGAAGGAGAGGGATTGCCAAGTTAGACCCCCCCAACTCCTCTGTGGCCCTTGCTTAACCTTAAGGGTCCCTGTCTTCCCACAAGCCTCTACACGGACGCATTTTGGGTCATGCCTGGAAGCATCCTGAGACACCAGGAATGTGATGGGCAGGCCAAAGGTGGCCCCTGGCTGCTGTCTGTGCTGGCCTCTGTGAGTGTCTGGCAAGTGGAGGCACTTGGGGGATACAGAAGTGAATACTGGAACATTCTCCCTACCCCCATACTCCCAGGGAGACACAGGACACAAAGCAAAGATCCAGCACTTTATTACTGTTGAAGAACACAGAGAAGAAGGCTTGATTTTCTTCCCCAGGGGGAAAGCCTAGAGAGGGGAGGGGCGGGGGGGAGAGGGGGGGAGCCTGAGCCAGGCCCAATGGGTGGGGAACAGTATGATGGTGGGAATTGTAAGCATTGGCTGGATCCTAGTTGTGACACTAAGTGTGAACCAAGGGTGTCTTAACCTCTTTTAGCCTTGGGCTCCTTGTGTGATATTTCACTGGGTGGCGTGAGGACCGAACGATGCTGTAAGTGTGCAACACGGGCTTGAGTGTGCAACACGGGCTTGAGTGTGCAGCACGGGCTTGTGTGTGCAGCACGGGCTTGTGTGTGCAGCACGGGCTTGTGTGTGCAGCACGGGCTTGAGTGTGCAGCACGGGCTTGAGTGTGCAGCACGGGCTTGAGTGTGCAGCACGGGCTTGAGTGTGCAACACGGGCTTGAGTGTGCAGCACGGGCTTGTGTGTGCAGCACGGGCTTGTGTGTGCAGCACGGGCTTGAGTGTGCAACACGGGCTTGTGTGCTGCTTCACTAGGTGGCGTGAGGACCGAACGATGCTGTAAGTGTGCAACACGGGCTTGAGTGTGCAACACGGGCTTGAGTGTGCAGCACGGGCTTGCATGCTGCTTCACTAGGTCGTGTGAGGACCGAGAAATGCTGTGAGTGTGTAACATGGGCCCAGCGGATGGTAAAGAGACAGAGAGTGGGGTCAGCAACGGCCTCGGAGTGTGAGCAGGAGGCCGTCTCTCTTCCCAAGTGTCTTCTGGGTGCTTGCTAAGAGCATAGCTTGGCATACCCCTGGGAACTACCTGGTCTCTGGAGATATGATGCCATGCCCCAAACTGAGGGCTTTGGAGTCATGACAGTTACCACCTCTTCCAACTCATCAACTGTTCCTTTAACCAGGGACAGTTAAAGGAGATTCCAATATGTGGGTGCGTGCATGCGTGCGTGCGTGTGTGTGTGTGTGTGTGTGTGTTTGAGTGTGTGCACAGGGTTAGTGTCCTCTGTCACTCTCCACCTTGTGATTTTGAGATAGTATTTCTCACTAAACCCAGAGCTCACCAATTTTGGCCAGACTGGCCGACTGCAGATTCCAGGGTCCTCCTGTCTCTCTCCCCACCAGCACCGGGATTATAAGTGTGACCCCACAGCTGGCTTTCTGCATAGGCACTGGGCATCCGAACCCAGCACTTTACTGACTGGGCCACCCCGTAGCCCCCAAAGTTCTAGTTTTCCCTTCACATTTATTTTTGTGATGCGTGTGCATACTGACGGCACATAGCATGCCCGGCACGTGGAGGTCAGAGGACAATTTTCAGGAGTCACTTTTCTCCTTTCATCACATGGGTTCTAGTTTGCTCTGGGTGGACTCTGATGGGAAGCCACCTCATCTCCCCAGCCTAAGCTCTAGTTTTATACCTGGGTCCCATCAAGGATTTTGACATCCATCCAGTCAGCCTTCTGTATGTGCAGCAGGAGAAGGTGGTCTTTTTATTTTTAATTTTCTTTGTAGTTTTTGCTTCACCTTCCTCCTCTCGAGATAGGGTCTCATGAAAGCCCAGATTGGCCTCAAGCTCACTGTTTAGCCAAGGATAACTGTACATGTCCCATCTTCCTGCCGTGTGCTGGGATTACGGGCATGTACCACCACACCTGATTTGCACAAGTGCTAGGCATGGAACCCAGGGATTCACACACTGTAAGCGGTCACTCTATCTGTATCCTGGCTATAGATTTTTTTTTATGAGACAGGGTCTCACTATGCAGAGACATGTAGCACTATGTAACTCTGGCTGTCCTGGAACTCACTGCATAGACTGGGCTGGCCTCAAACTAGATTGTTTTAAAGCGCAGCAAAGATTTATTAAGGAAAAACGAGAAAGAACTCCCAAGAGTTGGGGAGCAGGGAGCTATAAGGGAGGAGTACTTCCCCCTACTTTTCTTTCTGGCTCAGACATTCGATGCCAGGCGCCATGGAACTTGAACTCTATCTCTCCTTTGCCTTTTGCTGTCTAGGTGAACTTGCCCTGGTTTGGGCTTAAAGAAAAGCCAACTGTAAGACGCAGAAGCATCTCTGGAAAGAGATTAATAAGGCTTAAGCAAGTCAGTCAGTGGCTCAAAAGTGATTGGGCAGAAAGAATTTTGGTAGAAGTGTGTAGAAAACAGGAAGGCCGTCTGCAGAGAGATTCCTGCGCTGTCAGTGCATGGGGAAATAGCAGTGTTCCTGCAGCGGGCAGAAATACCACCAGGGGGCGCTCCGAAACTTGTATTTTTCTACCTCGAAAGCTGTTTCCAGTGGCTGCTGCGCTCTGAATCCAACAGAGATGAAGGGTTTTTAGCTTATCTAACAGATTTAATAAGAGTTTAAAATAAATATGTGTATAATTCTCCTAATAATGTGGATATGGACCTATGGCTCCCCCTTTCCTCCCGCAGGGAAGGAATGCTGAGGGTCAGAGTGGAGGGAAGGCTGCCCCGGGGTCCTGCTTCAACCACTGCGACTTGGGACAAGTTTCTCAAGAGTGAGGCGGTTCGAGGTTCCCACATCCAGCCTCCCGGGGGTGTTATGAAATACGGACACAGCGGAAAGAAAAGCAATGCAAAGGTCAGAGGGGTCTCCCGTGGCCTCTTACCTCCAGGGTACCGCCTTCTCCTCCCGCATCCCAGACAGGAAATGCCAGGGTGGCAAGCAGGCAGCTCCAGCCGTTAAGCCATGACCTCAAGAACAGTATTTCCAGGAATCCCCATCTTAGCATCCAAGGGATTCCTGGGAAAACTGGACCGTGAGGACAAGGTGGGAGAGAGAGGCCTTCGGCTCCTGCCACACCCCTAGGGACCAGCAGTTTTTCTCTGCATCCAGCCCGAGCTGAGCTCTGCCAGCCGGCGTGGGCTGCTGTGACTCCCAGGGTGCAGCTTCCTGCCCTGGGAACAGCGGCTAGAGCTTGAAGTGGCTTGGGAAGTACCTTCCCTGTGGTCAAAGGGCAGCCTTTGTTTATCAGAATTGATCAGAAAACATCTGGGACCAGTTCCCGCCCCCCCATTGCCACAGGCCACAGTTCTCTGGCCAGCAGGATGAGTTTAAGCCAGTTTGCATGAGGACAGGTCCTGGGCTCTGGCAACTTTCTCATTGTTGACTTCTGGCAGGTAATTTGAACTCTGGGCCGTGCTTGTAAAGTGGCATCCAACGGGGACCGACTGGGTGAGGAGGAGCCAGCATGAAGAAAGAGAGACGGCAGGGCTCTCAGAAGTGTGTGGTCCTGCCTCTGTCACCGTAGCCGAGAGCAAACAAGACCAGACTGGGTTTTGTTTTGTTTTCCTACTCTCCTGCTCCAGGGTCTCACAGTGGGTAGGGAGGTGGACCCCAGCTCAGCAGGTCCACATGTGGCCTAAGGCTTAGTTTTCTCACCTGTAAAGTGGGTCACCCTCCTCTGTGGCTCTCCTCTGCTGCCCCTTGCTTCTCTGAAGCCTCTGGGACAGGGTAGATGTCTGTGAAATGCCTGGGCTGGTTTAGGCAGTAGCCCAGAGCCAGAGTTAGAGGCTCAAAGAGGGAAGACGGTGACTCCAAGCCTAACAGGGATGGGCAACATTTTGACGCTGCAAGGTGACAGTGTCACCTACAATGTGTGGGGCTGCCAGGACCCTGGGCCGCTACCTCTGGGATGGAAGAGCTGTCAGGGATTGTCTGATGATCTACAGGGGTGAATCAGTTACAGTGGGTATTTGGGTCTGCAGTGTTGAGAAGGATTCTGAGGGTGTGTCAGAACCCTCCCAGAATGGATAGAGAGGGACGGCAGAGTTTCTTGAAGGAGACGTATCTTTTCCTTCAGCAGTGTCTTCTACGGGTTGGTTCTAGCTGCCACTGAATGGACCAGAGCCTACCGTTGCAGATGCACAAGAGTGGTCAGCCCTGGTGCAGCTTTGAGCCAAGGACGGCTCGTGGATGGCTGGAGCGGAGTCTAGGGACAACCTCTCGGGCCTGCCACCCCACGCCAACACTTACCACTTCCCGGCGATGGCTGCAGAACAGCTTCTCCCTTCCTGAGCTACAGTGCTTCATCTCAGACTCCCAACTGACCAGAGATGCAGCACTGCACCTCAGGCTGGGAGACAGGCGCGCATGGGCGCTGGGGGCATGGGCGCTGGGGCTGCGGCTCGCTTCCTGCCTGGGCAGGAGAAGGAGTGTGAGCACGGGTAGTGGCCTGCTTCCCTCCCGCCCTGTTCTTCCCCTGCCCTGGATCCCTCTGCGACCGAAATCTCCATCTTCGTTCCCTTTTTCTCTTCAAGTTAGCTTTCTTGAGGTAGAGCCCATTCATTTAAAGTGTGCAGTTAACTTTTTTTCTCTCTGCAGGGCTGGGAACGGAACCCAGGGCCTTGCACTTATTAGATAAACCCTCTGTGACCTCTCACCTTTGGTTCCTGCCCTTGCCCCCCCACCAGTCTCTGTATTGACTCTGGGCAAGTGACCACTGGCGAGAAACCAACCCAACTCTTTCATGCTCTTGCCCATCCTGTGAGCTCTGTTTCTTCCCAACCCTTGCGGTATAGTCTTCTTTTGTGAACACCTTCCTTTATGAGGAAAGGGAGCCTGCCAGATTCCCTCAGCCCCCAAATCAGGGCCACGTCGAATGTTGCTTGAGAGGATGGCTTGTAAGCTGCCTCATACTGCATGGCCTTAGGATGTTTCATTTCTGGGCCATCCCTACTTACCTCTTCAGTTGCCTGAGGTCAGGGCCCATAGGTTATCATTTGGGGTCCCTAGATACTGCTGACAACTTTGCACATGACAGTGGACATAGCAGATGACACGCAGGGACTGACTGAGTGGCCACACGGATAATTCATTTTCTTCTGTGGGCACTCACCCTGCTCTTGCCAAGATCCCAGGGTCCCCGGAAGACCTTTGCTTCATGGTGACTGTGGTGGCCTTGATGCTGGATGACATACTTTCAGGGTCGTCTGAGTGGGGGGGGGCGAGGCAGCCTTTTCTCCTGGCTGGGAAAGAACAGAAAAAAAGTCCACCTCCGTTTTTAGAAACCCCATAGCCCCTAGGCCTCCAACAGGAATCTAGCAGCAAGCCAAGTTGGGAGTGGAGTGCAGGAGCATGGGAAAATGTTCTCTGATTTGTCACCAAAGCCAGGGCACTTCTGCCTTCAGGTGTCTCCACCTTCTGGAGTTCTCAGAAACGTTCCACAACCCCTTTATCAGGAGATCCGAACATGGGACTCTCTAGAAGTCAGAACACTCTGTCCTCTCTACCCCATTCTCCACAGCTCCCACAGACCGTGGGAGGGGCATCATTGGACCTGACCAAGGGACATTCCGGTAAGTAGCTAGGAGGGATGGCTGGACACAGCACAGCTAGGCTGCTAGGGGCCACCCCGAGTCCCTGACGTCCTCAGGGGCCACTGTGCCCAAAGCCCTTTGGCCTCTACTGCCTTTGCTTTCTGGGGCAGCAGACGAGCGGGCGATTGTGGGAGTCATCTGGTGACACAACACTTGGGCTGTCCCTCCTCTCCTTTTATTCTTCTTTCTCTTGTTCTTTCTCTCCTTTTTGCTTTCCAGAAGCAGAGACGTAAGTAGATCAGGCTACCCTCAAACTCATTCCGTGTGTAGAGCTCTTGATCTTCCACTTCTGGAAGTCTGGGGTTACAGGCATGTGCCACAGTGCCTGGCAACCTGGGGTCCTACGTATGGGGAGGAAAGCTGCCCGGGGCCTGGGAAGCCAGGGAAGCAGGCGACAGTGTGGTACTGATGCTGCGTTCTCACACCATTGTTTCTAACTATGGATAGAGTCAGTCTTCCGTTTATAGCAAGTATTCCTACTTAGGTATGTAAAAAGATTCACCTTAAACTCTAAAACACGACTGCAGACAAAACTTAAAAACAGGACATCTGATGGCTGGGTTTGGGGCAGGATGCCAGAGCCTGTTCTACCTTCTGGACAGCTTATGGGGCTAGAAAAGATCACCTTGGATGGAGGATCAGGAGTAGGGGAGGGCAGGCATTCTAGACTTGCAGATACATGTTCAGAGAGGGAAACTGGGATAACGAAGAGCAGAGCAAAGATTTCACATCCTCTGTGTGTGCCATGGGACCTGGACAGAAGGTAGTCCATCTTAAGGAGAAGTAAATGGCCAGATGTACTGAGAGAGGCAGGTGCTCAGCCGGGAAGGGTCTTTGCCTCATCCTCCCTGTCCCATCCTTGGATAAAGACTGCCTAGTTCTGTCCCTGTGGTTCTAGAATAACCAATCTGGCAAATGTTTAACTGCATATATCCCCATATGCCTCCAAGGCTCCAGAAAAATAGAATTTCTGCAGGGTAAGAGTACAAGGCACCAGGCTGGGTTTCCTAACTCACGGCATCAGGGCCTGGTCCCTCACCTTACCCCCGTGACTGAGGTCTCAGTTTCTTAGTCCTCTGGGTTTGGGGCAGGCTCTCATAGCTGTGCTAGCTCATTCAGCAGACCTAGCACCACTTCTGTGTGCTCGGGGATTATGTCTGTGCACCTGTGGCTAACACAGCCTCAATACTATCCTTGCCTTTGAGCCTTTGCAGGGCACGCGAGGTTGAGAGGGAGGAAAGCCCCTGAGCAGGGCATGGGGCAGACCCAGCAGAGCCTGTGAGAGGACTGCCAAGCACTTGTGACCATCGAGGTTCCTTCCTCCGCCCCCTGGGTGGCTCAAATGGCCTCCTGGAAGAGTTGGCATGGGGACTGGGATGGTGGGGAGGAGCAGTGGACAGGAAGGTGCGCCTCGCGGCTCGACGGCCACATACACATGTTCTGGGCTGGTAGACAGAGCTTGTCTGCTCCCCCCCCCCCAGCCACCTCCTGCCTCCCTCAAGTGGGGCTTCCCCGAGAAGAGGTATGTAGCCTTTCTACATCGTTTACCCCAGGAAGGACTCCTTTGCCCTGTGGTGCTGTCAGAAGACGGGAGAGGCTTGGGGATCCAGGCCCCATCTCCAGTCAGCTCCCCATTCCGTTAAAGAGGTGGCTGGACCAAGCAGACTCTGGATCTTACCTGGTGCTCTCGGTGTTGTCCCTTGGAGGCCTGCCGCAGGGGATGACCCGCTTTTTCTCCTTTTCCCACGTCTTCAGAAAATGTCTCCAGGCTAGGGACTCTCGGGACTCCCGTCTGTTGGGAAGCTCCTGGGAGGGGTGAGAGGAGGGGACGCTGAAGCAGAAAATAAACAGTGGTTGTCTGGATAGTCTCAGGCCCAGGCAGGACGCTCTGCAGCTCCTGCCCTTATATGGCAAGGCTGCTCTGAGCTAGGAACTCTGCCTGTAATTCCTCACCTCAGTCACCACTCAGAGGACTGAGGGCCACCACTGGTCACCTGGGCTGCTGCTGAGAAGCCAGGCAGGGCCCAGCACATATCCTTGGAATCTCCTATACAAGCTGAGCAGCCATCTCAGCCGCTGATTGCTGTAGCAGGTGGGAGGAATAATACTGGGTTGAAGGGAACAACCTGGCCCAAACTTCTCTCCCACCTCAGAGTCCTTTCCGTCTGGGGCCTCTGTTTCTCAGAGAAGTACTCAATCAGCCCCATGGGGTGAGAGCAATTGCTTCTCCATTTTGCAGAAGGGAAAATAGGTCCAGAGAGGCTAAGGACAACTATGTAACTGAACAGGAAATGCGGCAGGATTTAACTCAGGACTGTCTGGTATCAGGGCCTGGTATCTGGCATCAGGGTTCTGAGTGGGCTGATTGCATTGACACAGCATAAAGGGGCAAAATGAGCTATCGCACGTGCTCGGTAGAAAGTTCATTGTGCTGGAGGTGCCTCCCCTGGGAAACCAGGCAAGCCCTAATGCTCCACAACGCGGCCTAAGGGGACGGTTCCATCAGACACGGGTGCCCTCGGCGTGTGACACAGGGCCTGGTGTGGATTAGAGCCTCAGAGGAGGGTGTATGCGAGCCCTGAGTAAATAAGCCTTGCTGGTCACAATTCCAGCTCGGCCACCGCTCTGAGGGTCTGTTGAAGCAGAGGGCAAGAAATCAGGGAGCTGGCTTTGTTACTTTGCTCCCAGTGCCTCTGCCCTCTAAGGTGGCCTGCAGTGTCTCCCTGTGCTGCTGCTTCCTCAGCTGTTTCCCCTCAGTCCAGCTGTGGGACCGAGGGGGCAGACGCGCCGTGCAGGGCCCAGGCCCTGGACTCGGCTTGGAACCTCAGGCTAGGCCCAAGTCCCAGGCCAGCATCAGTGACCGTGGGAGAGGCTGCAGAGGGGAGCTTATGGGGGTGGAGGGGTGGGCTGCTGGGAAGAGCTCAGAAATGTGCCTCCCACAAGCACTAACATCCTGTGTGCTCTCAGGCCGGCCCTGGAACCTCCTTCACCCCATCCATCATCCTGGCATCTTCTCCAAGGCTCCTTCCTGGGGCTGGGTGGGGGAGGGGCTGGGGGGCTCAGGGCTGACTGTCCCCATGCCAGAGAGAGTGCAGCTGGCCACCCTACAGGCCTGCTTCATGTCTGCCAGAGGGTCGCGCTAGCTCAGGGAGGCGCCCGCAGCCTCCCAATCCAATTTGTTTACAAGGGTCTCTGCAGCTCGTTTGCTCACGAGTGAAGACGGGGTGTGAGCTGTGTTGGGGTGCACGTTCGTTCGCACACATGTGGAGGTTACACGGGGGTGAACAGGTGGGCTGTGTTACGTAAGCCTTTTCTGCCAAGCATAGAATAGTTCCTTTCTGCTGCCCTGCCGTCCGCCTTCCCCTTGTCTCACCTTCCTGTTTATTCCATCCCTGATAGATCCATGCCAGACTTCTCTACACTTCCCGACCTTGCATTCCGGAGTGTGCGCCTCCCTTCTGGACCTCAGTTTCCCTACCTGTCTTAAGGAGCTCCCCCGGCCCCCCTCCCGCTCTTTCCTGTGTGCTGCCGAATGTAGGAGTCTGCACACTCAGACCCCAGCGGGGCTGAAGGACCACCTCCATCCCTAGGAGCTGCTGTTAGCAATAGCGCTGTCCTTGCCCAGAGCCCCAAGAGCCCAGGAGGCCCTCCTACAAAGTTCTTCCGTCTCTAAGGAGGATCACTGTTGTCTGTGTCCTCCTCAAGCCTAGCCGACTTCTTGTCGCGGTTTGAAGGGAATGGGATGGGAAGGGTTCTCACACCTGTTGGGTTCCCTCTTTTCTGCGTCTATCCCAGGCTCCAGCGTTACTGAAAGGCCACCGTATGGCTAGGCTGTGCTTTTTGAGATTCCCAGGCCTGGTTTCCTGAGGGTCCTAGGTTATTCCTAGAGCTCCCTGAGTTGGGGTGTTTGTAGGGATATGGAAGGAACACTTACAGTTAGTCCTGGGAACAGGGCTTCCACCGCCATCCCTTTCCTAGTTCTTGGGAAAATTTCTCACACAAGGCTCTTCATTCTCCAGTGTATGTGTGTGGGGTCCTACTAGCCATCACTCTTGCCTGAAAAGAACAAAAGATCTTGCTCATCACAAGTATTCCCTGTGTCCAGAGTGCCAAACCCCAAGGACTTGCGCCTGATATTGCTCTCTGAGAGACTGGTAGTGGGCCTGGGTCACTCTGAGTCCAGAAACCTTGGGCTGACTTGTTGAGGTTTGTCACGCCCCATGGAACTGTCCCTTGGGCCCCACATGACTGCGATCCCTGCTGTGCCCACCTTGCTTTTAAAGGTGGACTTTAGGGAAACTCTAAGCTCTGTGAGGAGGAGGGATCCACCTTTCCTTCTAACCAGCTGGACCCCTCTGCTCTGCAAGGATGTTGTCCCGGGGCACTAATGGCACAAATGGGCTGTGTTGGGGGAAGGACACCACCTGAGGCCAAGTCAGGGACCAAGACTGTGACCTCCTCCGGTAGCACAAGACTCCCGGCCTCGTGGAATGGCCCCAGAATGGTACAGCAGCTGCTGAGGTGAGAGGGGGGTGAACGAGGCGCTGTAGTTTGCGCAGGGCAACCCACTGACCAGTGTCAACGCAGGCAAGGAGCCAGGCTCAGCTGGCTCAACCTCTGAGCTTGCATGACTATAAAGCAGAGTTCGTGAGGCGAAAGTCATTGTCCAAGCCAGAGCCTTCTCCCAGGGAACAAGTTACAGCTGTGCTCTTGGGAGAGACCTTCTGCCTTCACTCCCCTTTGTAGCCCTCTCCCACACACAGGATCCATGGCTCTTGACTCCAGGACTGGGTTACCACTATATGCTTGCACACAATACGGGAGAGGTGGGCCTGTCCTTTGAATCTCATCCCTGCCCTTTCCCCTGTGTGTCCGAGGATCCTTGTCTTCACCTGGCTTCTGACCCCACAGGCTTGCTGTTGACAGTCAGGGGCAGCAGATACGACATTCATGGCAAACCAAGAGTAAGTGGCTGTGGTTTCTGTCGTTAGCATGGTAAGTGCAGGGGCCAGGGGTGGGAGGCATCCGGAGGTGTGGATGCTTGACTGCGGGGGCCACCCCTGCCTCAGCCTGGCTTCTGCTCATGTTCCCTCCTGCACAGCTTCCCTTGGCTGCTGTTCCCAGAGCACCCTCAGCCCCTGTCACCCTGTAAAGTTCACCAACCTCACACGCTCCCTACTTCCTCCCCAGGGAATGGTGTTCTGGGACTCTTGAGCAAGCCCTGGGAATGCAGTGAGGTGAGCCCGAGCAATGCAGGGAAGAGGGAAGAGACAGGGCCCCCGGCTCCTCTGGAACCCCAAGCCTTGCCTCCAGAGGCTCAGAACCCGGGGGCGAGAGGAAGGGCCTAAACATTTGGATCCCTAATTTCCACTGAGGGCGAAATGTGGACAGAGGAGGGGGTTTCTGCAGTTTCCCTTGGCGTCTCCAAGCAAGTGGGAGAGAGGAGTCAGGGGTTCTTGCTGCACTCTGCCTTGCTAAGAATGCTCATTAGGAGCCTTCCTTGCGGGTCTTGTGGAGCGCACAGAATCCCCTCAAGGTCGCAGTCACACAGCTCATTAGTCTAGGAGTCCCAGTTGGCCCCATGCAGTCCAGCACGCACTGTTCCCACAACCCTGAAGCTCACACTGTCCTGCTTGTCTTGGAGGAAGGAGGTTAAGAACAGGGGAAGCAGTTTCAGTATGAACAGAAATCATCTGGGCCCTGGCAAGGTCACCAGACACCGGGAGCAACGCTTTTCTTGTTATGGGTGTAGCTAGCTGTCTCTTTGCTATGCCATTTCTCTCGTTTGTTGAGTATTTGTTTAAACAAACCGGCAAAACCCCACTACCATGGTAAAGGCCTTGTTTCCGTTCCGTTTGCCTCTTCTGGGGTTTGTATATGTTGGTGTGTTCCCGTGTGAGCGTGTCTGGCGGTGGTGGGTTTACAGAAAGGAGGGGAAAGAAAAGGGAGACAGCTGGGAGGGGGCTGTGGTGCAGGGGGGGGACATTTCTGTCTTGGGTCAGGGGCTTATGTACACATGCCGGTAACTGTGAAGACCAGAAATTGACATCAGGAGTCTTGTATTGCTCTCTAACATAAAAAAAAATTAGTTAAGTATATATCTTCTGTGTGTGTAAGTGTAGCGCCTTCAAGGGGGACAAGAGGGTGTTGGATCCCCTGGGACTGGAGTTACAGACAGTTGTGACTGCAATGTGGGTGCTGGCAATCGGACCTGTGTCCTCTGCAAGAACAGCCAGCGTCCTTAACCACCGAGCCATCGTTCTGCTCGGCCTCTCAGCACTGGGATTGCGGGTGCTGTCAGAGCACCTCACTTTTGTGTGGGTGCTGGGGATCCTACCTATGTCCTCATACATGGCAAGCACTTTCTCAGCTGAGCTGCCTCCCTAGCCCACCTTCCCTGCTTTGTAAAGAGTAGGAGTGTCCAGGCTGCAGGGCTTTGTAGGAATGGGCATGCTTTCTGGATAATAGGTAGTGGTTTCTTCTGGACCACTTAGGGTGAGGAGATTAGCAGGCAGGGATAAAGCTCCTGCAGATACAGCCCTGGCAGCTTATGTGCATGGGTCCTCACCTCCCTGCGTGCCAGGAGCCACATGTGCAGGACATGGTGGCAGGGGAAAGGACTTCATGGTGACAGGACTCTCCCAGCTCACCCCTGTCCCCTTCTCCCTTTCCTCACTGCTCAGCTCAAAGTAGGTCTCTGAGCTGCAGCAGGATCTGAAATCTCGGTGCATTCTGGTCTCACGCCCTTGCTCAGTTGAGAACACTGGAGCACAGAGAGGCGAAGCGAGGAAAGCAGGGATCCAACTGACATCCAGCTAAGGTCCTGACCTCATCTACTGACTGAAAGATGTCATCGGTCAACACAGGGGGCCTCTGGGAGGAAGGTGGGGGAGAAGAGGGCCTTAAGTTCCCTGGCTTTGAAGATGGAATAATCACGACTTCCTTTTCCAAATAGCTTTTGGCCCTTCCTAGAAGCCAGATGGCGGATGTTTGGAATGTATGTTGTAAATACTGTTTCAGGAGGGGGCGGGGGACAGATGCGTCACTTTCTCCAGTAACCAGAAAGATCTGAGGGAGGGCAAGAGGAGAGAAGCCGGCTGTGAAAGGATTTGGGGAGAGGAGAGAAGAGGTGTGTGTGTGTGTGTGTGGCAGGGATGGGGGGTGGCCACACAGGAGGGTAAAGGGAAGGGGCCATGGTGCAAAGGGACAGTTCCATCTTGGGTTAGGAATAAATCCTCCATCTTCTAAAAATAACTCAGCCTTTCCCCCAGCAGGGCTGGCAGCAGGGCTGAGAAAGGCGCACTTGCCCTTTTATGGTAAGAAAAATTTCTCAGAGGGAAGCTGGGCTGGAGTCTACACCTCTGGATGGAGCCCAACCATGGGGTCTAGGGTGGGCCGGGGCTGGTGGGGGTGCAGCTTGGTGGGCTTTCCTGGCCTGAGTCCTACTGTCTGTGAAGGTGAGGGCAACGAGGTCCACCTGGGAAAGCCTTGCAGGTCTACCGGATGCTGGTATTGGGACCAGAGAAAGCCCTGAGTGTCTGCTAGATGTTGGTATTGGCTCCTGATGGCTCTGGTTCCCTTGCTTCTGGGAAGAATCTGAGTCCCAGGTAGGGAAAGAGAATAGACTTCTTGTGCGGGAGTCGGAAGCACTGGGGCAAACGGGCCCATGTTCATACCAGGATGACTTTTGTTCCCATTATTCTGCAAAGTGCTGTAGACCATGGAAACAGCACCGACTTGGGAGTCAGAGGCCCTGGTCCCCTGGCTCCCTACCAATTTTGATTTGCTTTGTCACCTTGAATACTGAGTTGACCTTTTTGGTCTCAGCTTCCCTCACTGGCATAATTTTATTTATTTATTTAATTATATTCTTATTTTTTTCAAGATAGCATCTTACTATGTAGCCCTGACTATGACAGAATCCACTATGTAGACCAGGCTGGCCTTGAATTCACAGAGGCCCACCTGCCACTCTTCTTCCCAAGTGCTGGGACTAAGGGTCTGAGCCATTAGGCCTGGCAGACTGGGATCATTTTAAAGAGCTTCCCAGCATCCCCTTACCACCACCACTAGGAGCTCATACTGCACGGTTCAGGCTCACCTTGAACTCACTATGTATCCCAGGCTAGCTCTGAATTCATAGCAGGCTTCCTCCGATTTCTGAGCGCTGGATTGCAGGCCATGAGTTACCACGCCATGCTTGCTTCCATGATTTTTTTTTTTCTCCCTCTGGGAATTTCTTGGCTGGAAAGCAAAGCTTGGGCGGAGGAGAATCTTTAGGCTGCTGTTGTCTTCCTGTAGCCCACCCATTTCCTGCGCCAAACCTCCCGGGGAAATCTAAGATGAGTGAGGCAGTACATCGTGCCGGGGGGTGCGGGGGGGTGGGGTGGGGGCTCTGCTTTTCTGGATCTAGACCCTACTGAACACACTGAGACCAGAAGGTACCTCTCATTCAAGGTCAGTCATACAGAGAGCGAGGCAGAACCAAGGGCTTCTCCGTCCCAGCCACAGAGCCTCCCTTTTCAGGAGGCCTCCTCCCATTCATAGTTCCAATAGTTTGGGGACCATCTCGGGCCACACAAAAGGACTTAGAAGACAGAACAGCACGAGGTAGCCATAGGTTGCTACTAGCTGACAAGGGGTCATGACACGTCCTGGTTGGGTACCCGGCTCTCCGCTGTCCCTGCGTTTGGGATGAGGAGCCTCATCGCCTCCAACACTGGTTAGAAGGCAAAGAGCTGCAAAGGATGCCTCTACTTAGTGTGATCTTGGGGACGTCTCTCTTCAGCGTCTTTATCGCTGACACGAGGAGATGGAGCACTGGTGCCTGCAGACAAGGACTGTTTTACCCAGAAGCCACCAGAGGAGCGTATCAGAAAGTGTTCTAGTGTTAGCCAGCCCGAGGCAGGGGCTTATCACTTATGATCCCCCCGAAGACCCTGCTCCACACTGTCTGCCTTTATTCAGGGAAGCCCGGACTCCCTGTGCCCAGCATGAACCGGGGTTCAGGAAGGCTCTAGTGCCTAGCATCCCTGCCCTGGGTGTTGGCCCGGCTGCTGTCTGTCTCCACTGCTCCAGGACTTTCCCAGGCCTGACTGGTACCCGAGTGTCTTCCCGGGACCAGCCGCCTCCCCAGGCTCTAGAAGGTAGTGGGGTACCTGGACCTGCACCTGTGCCCTAGCTCGCCGTACTGACTTCTGTGACTCAGCCCAGGGAAGCTGCTTGCCTTCCTCGCCAGCTTCCTGTCACACCCACTGCTGGGGGAAAGGAGGGAGCAGGAGAAACTGGAGGCGTCTGGATCGTAAGTCAGCCACTTTCTTGTGACCCTGGTGGAATCTCCATGCAGACTCTCTGGAGCGTGTGAACGGGCTCACAGAGACTTCCCCCATGGCTCTCACTCCTGTAGGGTGGGAGGCCATTGGATGGATGGTCCCCAGAGACCTTGCTCTCGTAAATAGGCTCCAGGTCTCTCTGGTCAAGCCTGGAGTCCCCTGGGAAGAGTAAAAGATCACAGTAGGATAAGAGGAAGTAGGGGGCATGGGGGGCCCAGGAAGCCCCTGTGCAAAGTCAGGGCAGAATTGACGTCACATCTGGCTAGAATCTGACATGCAGGCCGTCAGGGACGTATGTTGCATGGTTGTCCCTGCATGTGAAGTCGCAGGCTGTTGGTGGGAAAGGACCATAGGGACTCTGAGCCCTGTCTTTTCTCCGTGTCGTCACTGCTAACCTTGCATGCTTCTTGGGATGCTCACTACTTCCCAATCACCCCCTCCCCATTTGAACAGACTATTGATACTCCCCTCTGGAGTGCTGATGTCATGGGCATCTCCTGGGATTCACACCCCGTCCTATGGGCTGCACATCCTGCTCCTCAGTAAGCTCGAGAGATGTTTGAAGTTGGTGACTGTCCGCTGGCCCCGTCCCGACTCTTCTGCTCCCTTCCCGTGACCGTAGTCCCTCACCTCCCACTCCTGTCCTCGGTCCGTGGTTTGAACGCGTTTTGGGGAAGGGGACAAACAGATTAAAGAAAAGAACCAACAGAAACCAAAAGGTTTCCTGTCTACTCCAGCCACTCCAGAGCCCAGGCCTCTCTCCCTTTGCCTGCCTCCAGCCTCACTGAACTCGTAGACCCCCTTGGAGTTCTGAAAGCACCCTTGAAGTTTTACCTCCTAGAATTCCTCACCCCGCCATCTCCACCCTGTTCCCCTTGACTCCTCCACCTGGCAGTTTCCTCTCAGATGGAGTCTTGGTGTCTACATGGACTGGCCGTGAGCTGTCCCCTTCCCTTCCCAAAATGTGTGACATCAGGACCTGAGGGGCTCAGCAGGGCAGGGAACTAACTGCCTTAAGTGTAATGGCTACAGAGTCAGTCCCAGGCGGTCGTTCAGTTCCCTCGGGGCTACCCTGGGCTCTTCAGGTTGGTGTGACTGTATGCCTGAGGTCCATTGGCTCAAGAAAGCCTGGCAAGTGAGGGGTGGTATCATGGCCACTTCTTATGCAATGTGGCCCAGTTTGACTCATTCCCGTTCCTATTTGGCTGGGGGAAGCAGAGGAGGAAGGGCAGAGAGAGTTGGTCAGGTGGGGGCAGGGTTCTTTGTAGCTGCCTCCCTGTGATGCAGTTAGGGTCCAAAGGAACACGGACTGGCATGGCTCTTGGGGAGGTGCCCAGGATGGGCTCCCCTTCCCTAGACCTGGCCTGGCCCACCGTTCCTTCTGCAAGACTCTGATGGGCTGTGTAGGGAAAGGGACAGTACAGGGGCTGATGAGGCCTCTCGGCGGACACAGACAGGTGCTCACTGGAGGGGTCTGACCAGAGCCTGCGCTTTCTGTCCTCAGCTGGGTTGTGGTCGAGAGTGGGGGTTCTGTCTATTCTGTCACCATCTTATTCTTAATTTGGAGGGCACATGGCTTCCCCCACTAAATGTCAAGTGTCCCATCAAGCTGGAACTGGCTCTTTCTGATTCATAGCCCTCTTGTCTGGTTCTTGAAAATAGCAGTTAAGCATATGGAGTCAGCCAGATTTGGGAATGAGTCCCAAATTGAGTCCCTGTGTGATTTTGAGCAAATAATCAGACCCCTCTGCGCCTCTAGCTGACCCAATGGATAAAGGTATTCACCTCAGGGTACAGGATAGGAGGCCTTGGTACAAAGCAATTTGGTTGTGTAAGAGATTAAATCGCCAGGAATGGAACACAGGGCCTTGAGCATGCCAGGCAAGATTGCTACCATAGGCTCACAATATCCCTAGTGTGATACTGTTTTTTTGAGACAGGATATTTTGTAGCCCAGGCTGGCCTGGAACTGACTTGTAGCTGAGTATGGCCATGAATTCCTGATCCTTCTGAATGTTGGTATTTCAGACATATGCTAACATGCCTGGTTTGAGAATTGTTACCTTTTCCTTTCTCTTTTTCTCCTATAGTTTTTGCCTGTCTGTGTGAGGGTGTCAGAAGCTTTGGAACTGGAGCTACAGACAGGTATGAGCTGCCATGTGGGTGCTGGAAATTGAACCCAGGTCCTCTGGAAGAGCAGCTAGTGCTTCTAACCACTGAGCCATCTCGGCAACCCTGAGAACTTTACTTTTGAAGGAACGAGAGAGTATTATTCCTCAGCATCCAAGAAGCTAGGACTCTCAGCAGGGCATATCCTCTCCGTGAGAGGCTGCCTCGGGCTGTGACAGCCACGTTTCCTTGCATAGCTCCTCTGTGTCAGTCATTGCTCCATTGGCTTCAAGAGCTTCAGCTCCTCTAACCCAAACACCTCAATAAACTACCCTTGTCATTGAGCAGCTTAAACTCTCTACTTTACAGATGGACCTACTAGGCTCAAGGAACCGAAGCTGCTTCAGGCAAAATGCAAGTTTCAACCCAAGCAGCCTGTGCCGCTGGCCCTGTGAGCCCAGCTTCCTGTGACTTCTTACAGCACTTTGACTGGCTCTGCCTCGTTTCTTCATCTTGGACATGCAGGGGGACACCCACCCCTATCCTGCAAGAACTCTGCATCTTCAACAGACCAAAAAATGGCTTGAAGGAGCTGGGCTGTGTGAGCCGGGCGAGTAGGCAAGGTGTGCATCAGGCACATTTCAAATTGGAGAAAAGGTCTGTGGTGTTTGCGCGGCTGCCACCAACAGATTCTTTTGTAAGCAGGAAAATGGCTGACCCCAGAGCTCTCTCTCTCTCAGTGCGTGCCAATGCCAGATCCCTGTGGGGTTTGTCTAAACAGGCTGTGAGCAGTGGCTGCTCCCTGATTCTATCCACCCAAGCCCTGCAGCTCAGCCCCAGGCACTGGGACCAGAGTGCTCAGCCCCTGGCCCCCTGGGTCTTCCTAAGAGTCTGTGTGATATGACTGCTCTGATCGGGAAAATTCCTAGGTATCCATGTGGGCAAGCGTCAGCAGCCTGCAGAATACACATGAGTGTGTCTTCCTCCCTCCCTCCCTCCCTCCCTCCTCCCTCCCTCCCTCCCTCCCTCCCTCCCTCCCTTCCTTCCTTCCTTCCTTCCTTCCTCCACACATTCCCCCTTCCTTTCCTTCTTTTGTGGTGCTAGGGACGAACTAAGGCCCTCACACATGCCAGCCAAAGGCTCTACTGCCAAGCTACATCCTCAGCCCTCTTCCTTACAGTATTTGATGTACGTAAAATAAAGTATGTAACATGCATTCCAAAAAATCCTATCACTTCTACTGTGGTCAAGGAGAGGGGTCTGCTCAGGGAGACATGTAGAAATAGCCTGATGGAAGAGAGCAAGAAAGAAAGGAAGAAAAGGAGGGAGGGAGGAAGGGAGGGAAGGAGGGAGGGAGGAAGGGAGGGAAGGAGGAAGGGAGGAAGGAAGGAAGGAAGGATGGATGGATGGAAGGGAGGAAGGAAGGGAGGGAGGGAGGAAGACACAATGACTTCTCTGGCTGTCTTCAGGCTACACCCAGGGCCCAGCAGCCCATCTCCAGGTGTAAACTGGAAGAATTCTGGCCTCTGTGTTCAGGAGGTGTGTTTAAAACTGAACAAAAATAGAAGGCAACATTTCCCATGCCTCTTTCTCCTCCTTCTTCCAGGGTGTAGCCCTGGCTGACCTGTCACTCATTGTGTAGACCAGATTGGCCTTGAACTTGCTGAGATCCTCTTGTCTGTAACTCCCGAGTGCTGGGATTAAAGGCATGTGCCACCGTGCCCAGCTTTCTCCTGGTTCTTTGAGCCACCCCAGGACCTGAGCCCCGAGGGCAGTTCTGGTGGGAAGCTGAGAGGAGCTACTCCTTGGAGCAGTCTCACCTGGAGAGTCACTCGAAGCTGTCTGGGTGTGGCAGCTCAGGGTCCTGAACTTGCCCTTCTGCAGAGCTGCATGTAGTTGCTTTTCTCTAGAACTAGCCTGCTGGGGAAAGGGCTGAGCTTGCCCACATAGCTCTGGTGTGGCTCGGGGACCAGTGCCGGAACCCTCTGTTTTGGGACAGTTGCATGACTGAGGGACAGCAGTAACCTCAGGATTGGGACCTTTCATCAACACCAGCACAAGTCCCGAGACAGGAGTCTCCTCCACAAGTCTGGATTCCTCATTATAGCTCTCAGGGAACCAGGGGACTGGGTGAAGAGCGTGTAGTTGGAGGCTGGATTCATGCCTCCTACCTAATTTCTCGTGGCGAGAGCTTGGGTGGGCTGTGGTTACGCCGTAGCCAGGGGCATTGGAATCATTTGATCTCTCCTAAGAATAATCTTAGGAGAACTACAATAATGCAAACCATGTAGCTGGTGTCTGGTTCCTGGGAATGCCCCATACATACTCTATCCATGAGATTTATTGGACACTTGCTAGGAAGTCCATGGTGGCCATAAACAGAGCTGGAAGCTGGAGGCTCTTGGTGGAGACGGCAGCCTGGGGGTAGCCAACACACATACACACAGTGTATACACATACACTTTACCTCTCTGTAAAGTGGGAATAATTGCATCTCGCTCCCCAAGTCCTGCAAGGCTTTCACTGAATGAATTCATATAGAACTCTCAGACTCCTGGATCTCCTAAGTGCTCAACAAACGAAAGCAAATATTTCTTAGTCACGATACCTGAAGGATCCGCTGGCTAGGCAGACACACATTCTGCCCGGGTTTTGCTGTCAGCGGATGGTCTTAGAGCTATGATTTCACTCCAGGCTTGCTGCTGCCCAACTGTGTCTTGAAGATCTCAGATTGCTCTGCAGCTCTGAGGGCTCCCACTGCTGGTGCCTAACTCCAAGCTGAGGGTGAGCGCAAAGGGAGTGGTCTCAGGCTGGTTGCTCTTTGCCCTTCTCCTCTGACTGGGATTCACTCCACCTCTCTTTCTAGAGCTTTCTCTCTCTAGGACACTCGTCCGTCTGTCTCATTGCCTCTCCCTATACATAGCTGAGACATAGGAGTCTCTTAGTCCTCACAATGACCATACGGGCTCAGAACTTAGGCTGCACCTATTCCATAGAGGAAGAAGATGGCGGATGACTGAATCAAACGCTTTGGTATGTAAACAAGCCAGAGTTGGCTGTCAGTTGGAGTTTAGTGCTTCCTTCTGAACCATATGGCCTTGGGTGACCAGGTGCAAGAGGGAACAGATGTTGCACAATCTGAAACTGGAGGACTGTGCTCCATTCTGGGTCCAGATGTGGCCAGTGAGTTGGATGTTGCCTGTGTGTTCCAATCCGAGCTCTGCCTGGCCCCAGCAGTGCTCGCCACAGGCCTTCCTTCCAAGGCCCTGGGAAGCCCTCTGCGATTTCTTCACCCCATTCCTGGCCTGAGGTCTTGCACTTGTGGCTTATTGCATCAGACATCATCCCTGTGCCCACCAGAGGCAGCATGGCGCCCTGGGGAAGCCAGATCTGGGACTTTACTAGACACCCTGGGGATATTCTTCAACACCTTAGGCTCAGCCTCCAACAGTGGCGTAGCCCAGGAACCTCCTGAGGGAACTTCTCCCAAATGGCTCAGAAGCCACACCCTGCATCTCCAGGTCATTTGGTCCAGTTGCTTCCTCACACATCTCAACAAGCAAGCTGGCCCAGAGAGGGATGGGTACCTGCCCAGAGCCATACAGTCCAGCACCGAGTACAGATCCGGGATGGAGCTCAGGCCCTGTCTCCCCAGTGCTCCTTCCTAGTCCTCCCCACCTTCTATAAGCAGCCAGCACCCCATCCTTCCAGCCCTTTGCCTCCTACTCCCTGGCCGCCTGAGCACGCGCAGCCGCTTCCCGGGCTTTGGCTTTTGGAACCGTTATTTGGAAACAGTTTTCCTTAACAGGAGCCCCAGGTTCTTGGAGCTATGGTGTGAACGCCTGGTATGGTACAATGAGACAGAGTGCTGTCAAGGTAGAGACAGGGAAAACTGCCCACATGTGTCACCGTGGGAGCTTGACCTGTCAAGGACATCAGCTTAACCCTTCATTCCTCATTCCATAGAAGCAGCCAACAGGCCCAACAGGACTGGAGCTGGCCAGGGCTGGGCCAATGCTTGGTGATCACCGGATCCAGCTCTGGTTACAAATAGGGGAACTGAGATCCAGAAAGGCAAAAGGCACAGAGCAGTTAGCAGACAGCAGGGATGAGAGTCCCTGGGAGGAAGCCCTGGAGGCCCGCTCAGGGACCCATGTCTGTGGCTGGTCCTTACCTTGGCTGTTGTCTGGCCCAGGGATGACTCTTCGGAGGTGGAGGCTCACCCTATTTGGGGTATGGTTGTGGTGTCACTGCTCCTCACCTAAGTTGACACGGCTGGCACCTCTTGATGCTAGGGGGGCATTTTTAAGTCACTGGCATCGGACCCCCCTCTGTTCAGCCCCTTGCCCGTGGCTCTCTGGCCACGGAGGCCTCGCTGCCTTTTACCTTATATGAGCTGAAGAAGCGAGCCTGGTGTTGGGGCAAGGCGGGTGTTCGGTCCTCCCTGGGCCCCCCATTGGCCAGGGCGCCAGCCACGTGACTGCCTCGCCTTGACCTGCCCCTGGTGCCGAATGTTTCTTTTACCCCCTAAGGAAGGAGTGGTTGACAATTTTCATATTTCTTCTAAATTTGGAGGTTTCAGACAATGCTGAGGGCTTGGCTCCAGCCGCCAGAGCCCATGTGGAAGTTATTAAACTGGAGAAGGGCAGTAGGGGGAGGAGGAGGCAGGGAGGAGAGGAGGAAGGGAGTGGGGGACGGACTTCTGAGGGTTGCCAGTTGTCAGCCTGGGAACTCGGCAAACTCCTGGGAGAGAGCTGTGTGTGAGAATTTCCTTCTTCTCCTGCTGCCCCGAGTCCCAGGACTGGACAACTGGCCCTGGGATGTTTTGAGAATCCCCCAAGAGAAAGACACCAATTGAGGCTTCTGGGACTCGGCGGGCGATGGGAATGGTGACTCATGTCAGGCCCCAGGGAAGACAAATCTCTTCTCCAGAACTCCAGGACCTTGAGAGGTCACTCCTGTCCCTGTGCAAAGGAGGTCCAGGGCCCACTGTGAGGCTGCCCGGATAGGGCAGGCACTTGAAGCCAATCATGCCCCAACGGAGACTCCGTCACCCTGAGGAACAACCCCAGCCTCTTTCTGTCAGTGTCTCACGGTGTCTCACTCTATGGCCTAGGTGGTCTAGGACTCTCAGGTCTGCGTGTTGGGTTTACAGGTTTGTGCCTCTGCACACAGCCCAAGGCCTCAGCTCTCTCTCTGCTCCCGCTGTGCTCTCAGATGCCACCTTGGAGAGGTTGGTTGTGCCCAGGCCTCCTCAGGACTCCCCACCCTGAAGATGCCCTGTTTGCATTCCTAGGACTCACCACACACTGCCTTACCCATCTTCCTGCCTGGTTTACTACAGGTTCTTCTAGGAGTGGGTGACTTCCTAGACAAGCTCTAAGTCTCCAGGCTTCCCACAGTGAAAGTCAAAATGTATATAGAGGGACTGCAGGACAGGCAAGGCCCGTCGGAAGCTCAGCTCTGAGGCCTGCAAAGAGCTCCTCCCAGTGGTCAGCCATGTCCTCTGTAGAAGGCCATCACTCTGTCCCTGCCCTTCATGGCTCAGGGCTTCCTCTCAATGTCCATACTAGGTGGCCATCCACTGACTATTCAAGTCTGATATATGGACACCTGGGCCCAAGGCTGGGAAGATCCCGGGGCTGCTCATCTTTCCCTTCCCTGGGGGCTCCACTTTGTGATCTGTTCTTACTGTTCATGTCCCTGCTAGTATCAGTCTCATGCCATCCTGCGTGGGTACAACCAGGGAGTCCTTAGAGTATGGGGGTGACAAGTCAGACACACTGCTGGTTTTTGTTTTTGTTTTGTTTGTTTGTTTTTTCGAGACAGGGTTTCTCTGTGGCTTTGGAGGCTGTCCTGGAACTCACTTTGTAGACCAGGCTGGCCTCGAACTCACAGAGATCCACCTGCCTCAGCCTCCCGAGTGCTGGGATTAAAGGCGTGTGCCACCAACGCCTGGCTTTTGTTTGTTTTTTGAGACAGGGTCTGTGTACATAGCCTTGGCTGTCCTGGTACTCACTCTGTAGACCAGGCTGGTCTTGAACTCACAGAGATCCACCTGCCAGTGCTTCCCGAGTGCTGGGATTAAAGGCATGTGCCACCATGCCTAGCTCATACTGTTGATCTTAATTGCCTCCCAATCAACTAGGAGAATAAAACACTCCGCACTAGTTTTCTGGAGGTTTTGCAGTCCTGGGTCTCTTTCTGTCTTTACTATTCCCAGCATTGAGTGTGGGCAAAGTTACCTCTGTCACTCTGACAGTTTGCCTTTGTGACAGTAGGTAACTAACCACTACGTCTTTGTGTGGCCATGAGGCTTGGCAGATGGCACCCTTCCTGGGGAAGGGTGTCAGCAGGAGAAGGAGAGGGGGCCAGGGTCTGAGGGGCTAACATCTGTGAAGTTAGCCTTTCCTCCTCCTCCTAGAATAGAGTTGATGGAGCACTCAACTCCCAAGGGCTTGGCACACAGCAGTCACTGTTGATGTCCCTGCTTCCTCTCTCAGGCTGGGAGATGACTCCACAAGTGACTTCATTGGAATGCAAGTGAGAGGTGGTGGGTGGAGAAGGCGAGCACTAACCCCTTCCCCATCTCTGCATGGGAGTTAGCCATCTGATAAGGATGCTGGGAGTGAAACTTCCATTCCCCAGCCCCCCTCCCCCATTCCGGCTGAGTACAATAAAGTGCTACCTCCAAAGTCCAGAGGGAAGGCGAAACCGTTCCCACAGAATCACCAGGGAAAGCTCACTCTGGAGATCTTGCTACTTCTGGCGTGCGCTGGGCAAACATTGGAGATGCTTATGACAGAAAAGAAAAATGGGCCGCGTGCGTCATAGGGACCTGTCATTTCACCCACCCAAGAGCTCTGTGGCGTCACTCTAGTTCAACCTACCTGTGACTTAACAGCACGGTTACCAGAAAATCCACAGTGAAGTCAGGTATGGTGGTGCACACCTATTGTCCTAGCTGCTCAGAAAGTTGAGCCAGGAGGATAATGTTAGTCCAGGAATTGAAGGCCAGCCTGGGCAATAGACAAGGACTTTGTCTCCCCCACCCCCTCTCCCCCCAGTGACATGGACTAAAGAGACAGGCAAGGTAAGGCTGCAAAGGGACTTAAGAGGGGCTCTAGTCTGTACAGGCAGAGACACAAGAGAGACTAGTTTTTTAAAGACAGGGTCACAAGTAGCCCAGGCTGGTTGCTATGTAGACAATGCTGGCCGTCAACTCCTGATTCTTCATCAATTTCCCCAGTGCTGAGATCACAGGTGTGTGCCATCACATTGTCAGCTTGACTGGATTTAGAATCACTGTGGAAATGTCTCCCCAGGAGTGTCTATGAAGATCTATGAGGTTGGAAGAGCCACTCTGAATGTGGGTGACATTATCCTACAAGCTAGGGGCTGAGACTGAATAAAAAGGAGAGAGCATCTGAGCACAGACCTTCAAGCTTGCTGCTTCCTGACTGTGGACACAATGTGACCACATGACTTCCTGACTGTGGACACAATGTGACCAGCCTTGTGCTCTTGCTCCCATGACTTCCTCTCTCTGATGCACTGTACCTTCAAATTGTGAGCCAAAATAAACCTCTTTTTCTTCAAATTGCTTAAGTCACGCACACACACACATTATATATATATAAATGTGTGTGTGTGTGTGTGTGTGTGAACCATAGTACACATGTGGAGGTCAGAGGGCAACTTCTGGGAGTCTGCTCTATCATTCCAGAGGTCAAGATCAGGTTATCACTATATGCCTTTTCTGTTGAGCCATAACGCTGCACAAGTTGTTGTTTATCTGTTGTTCTTGTTCAAGACGGGGTTTCTTTGTGTAGCCCTGGCTGTCCAGGAATTCACTCTGTAGACCAGACTGGCTGAAAACTCAGAGATCTGATGGCTCTGCCTCCCGAGTCCTGGGACTAAAGGTGTGTGCCTCCAATGTCCAGCCCAACAAGTTTTTTTTTTGAGGAAAGTAATTCAAAATTCTTATAATAGTTGCTTTGTGATCAAACCATCTTCTAGAAAACGTACTCCCATTAGCAGGTCAGTTGGAAGAGTAGAGGGTGTATTACTTCTCAAAGACATCATGCTAGAAAGATTCCCACAACATAGTAATGAGGTTTTCTAAAGTTCCTGGTGCCGAAGACGCATGGTAGAATCTCACTGGAATAAAGCGATGCATTTGCATGCAGATGACTTGGGTAAATGTGTGAGCAGTCAGGTTGAATCAGTTTTTTCTCTCCCCGAGTCTCCTGCACAGACAAGCCAAGACAGAATCTCCCCGTGCAGTGCCTGAGGGAGCATCTCTGGGAATGTCAGAGGTGGGTGAGCTACCCCATTGTCCCCAGAAGGAAGTAACAAACCCTTTGTGCTGTTCGCCAAGGAAGACTGGCTGTGGAGGTGGAGGGAACAATGTGTAGCATAGTTCTCCCAAAACTTTGGGACAGCCTGGCATGGGATGCTGGCAGGAAATAGGAATGGATTGCACTAAGTGGCCCTGATGAGTTGGCATGGGGCCCTTTCCTGGTCTAGTGGGAACATTGGCTGTCATCCCTGTGGCCCCTTTGGGAGTCCTGAACTTGACCCCACAACTCAGGCAGTAACTTGCTGAGATTGGCCTAGCTTAGTCCTTCATGTCTTTCCACCCCACTGAATGTACTTATAGGACCTAAGGGGCTAACATTGCCCAGAGGGCCAGCATACTTCCCACCAAGACCTGGCAGGACTGGGGTGCTTTGTGTAAGCAGGAGGTGGTAAGAACACTGGAGAACACACAGGGGCTGCATGTCTGACTTACTGCTATTACCAGGATGGGTCAGGGCCTTGAACATTTGAATCCCCAGGGACAATCCCGACACATTAACTGCACTCCAAATAGTGCAAAAGAACATATCTCAGGGGCTGGAGAGATATCTAAATGGTTAAGAGCATTGGCTGCTCTTTCAGAGGACATGGGTTAAATTCCCAGCACCCATATGACAGCTCACAACCATCTATAACTCCGGTCCCAGGACATCTGATGCCTTCTTCTGGCCCTGAGGGCACTGCATGCATGTGCCGCACAGACAAGCACTCAGACAGACACACACACACACACACACACACACACACACACACACACACGCGTGCGCGCACGCACGCACGCACGCACGCACACCACAAAAAAATATTAAGAACACTTCTGTTATACAGGTGAGTGTGTATGTAGTTGAGTGTGTACCAAAATGTGCTGTTAGAGAGAATGTGCTGAAAGACGTTCAAGTCAGATCACAATAGAGTTGTCCTGCCAGGCCAAGGCCACTCTTGCCATCAGCTGTCATGCGTAGTCTTCTGACTCAACTTGACAAGACTAAGCGATGCTG